TATTTTTATTTGATTTCTTAGAGCTAACGAATTTTTTTAAGAAAAAAAAACAGAATTTTTTGAGAAGCCGAAGAATCAGTGAATAAGAATTATTCAATTCTTCGGTTGTAATTATCCATAGCCGAAGAATCAGTGTTTTTATATCATCTATTCTTCGGATTCTTGCCGAAGGATCACTGTATAAATAGTCATTAGTTCTTCGGCTTTGCCGAAGAATCAGAGTTCTAACACGCATCAATCCTTCGGCCCCCAAGCCGAAGAATTAGGCCGTATCACCCAAATAAGAGGTGAGCTAAGCTGAGTGAGCTGGGTTGAGCTGTATTTTACTGCTTTTATGTAAGGAAAATGTGTAGAAATCCTTAAGCTGAGCTGAATGAAACTTGTCTGAGCTAAGCTAAGCTAAGCAGAATAGATCATGTTCGTGAATAATTGAGCTAGCCTAAGCTGAGCTGAGTGATTATTGTCTGAGCAGATAAATTCATTTTCGAAAATCAGTTCACTCAGCTCACTCTTTTTAATTTTTAAGTTTTAGTGGCTTGACGGCCCTTCGTCTCAGCCCCGATTCTTGATTTTTAATTTAAGGGCTTGACGGCCCTTCGGGCCGTCTCAGCCCCGATTCTTGATTTTTAATTTAAGGGGCTTGACGGCCCTTCGGGCCGTCTCAGCCCCGATTCTTGATTTTTAATTTAAGGGGCTTGACGGCCCTTCGGGCCGTCTCAGCCCCGATTCTTGATATTTTTATTTAAGGGGCTTGACGGCCCTTTGGGCCGTCTCAGCCCCGATTCTTGATTTTTATTTAAGGGCTTGACGGCCCTTTGGGCCGTCTCAGCCCCGATTCTTGATATTTTAATTTAAGGGGCTTGACGGCCCTTTGGGCCGTCTCAGCCCCGATTCTTGATATTTTAATTTAAGGGGCTTGACGGCCCTTTGGGCCGTCTCAGCCCCGATTCTTGATATTTTAATTTAAGGGGCTTGACAATGGCTGGGAACTCTGAGGTGATCAATCTCAGTGAAGTCCCCAACCCCGCCCTCACCCATCGTTTATAAAATTCCAATTGTCCCAGTTTTAAAAAGACTTATGGTCTTTTTTTTTTATTTTTCTTTTTAAGAGCTCCCTTACGGTTTTTGCCAAAATGGGTCTCGCACGGACATTGTTGAGCCTCAAATTATTTGATAAAAATGAGATATTGGATTCAAATAATTAGAATTGTAAAAAAATGCGTATTTTTGGTGCATTTCCACGAAAATGGTTCTTCATTTATCCGATTTTGACGGCTTTTTTCTCGCCAAATTTTATTTGCTTCTCGCCGCTGGAATTTTCAACCCTTTTCTTTTTTCTGCTCCCGCATTTCCCAAAATCCCGCATTTCTCAAATCCTGGATTTCTCAAAATCCTGAGTTTCTTAAATAGCCAATTCAGGAGTCTGCCGATTCTGGATTTTCGAATGTCGATCCCGGGTTCTTTGTCAAAGAATCTTTGACGTCAATCCCGACTTTTTCAGCGTTAATCCCAGCTTCATCAGTTTCAATCACGGCTTTTCCAATGTCAATTTAATTTTGGAGAAGCCATGATCATTATTCAAGAAGGAATAATAGACAACTGAAAAGCCGGGACTGGGATCTGAGAAGCTAGGATTGAAGAAAGTGACGCCCCGATCGGATCTTAAGAAGCCGGGATTGACGCTTGAGCGACCAGGATTGACGTCTGTTAAGCTAGGATCGAAGTTGTTGAGGCAAAGATTGAAGTGGGTGAAGCCGGGATTGAGTGTGGAAAAGCCAATAAAATTTTATCGATCAATTTATTTTAACTACATATAACTACATATTATATGTAACTATATTATTATTACAGTGGGTTGCGCAGGTAGTTGCCCCTTTGCGATTGCCGCTTTGGTTGCCCCTTCGCCCGCGCTTTTTCTATTGTTCCTTTCTAGACTTGCTCAAAGTGATTGCAGGATTGGTTGACCCTTCGCCCGCTCTTTAGGGGGCAACTACCTGCGCAACCCACTGTATGTACTAAAAATAACCGCCTTTTAAGCAAAAATAAGTTTTAAATTCATCATCACTGTAAAAAACCGTTTATTTTATTAAACTTTGATTCTTGATTTTATTTCCGAGTGAGGGCGCTTATTTCACTCCGCGCTCTGATTGGTGCGCGCTCGGCAAAGCTCTGAGCTGCGGGGAGTGTGGTAGGTGTTGTACGTCTCAGAAAATACACGCCTCGCGCTAAATCTCGGTCTGAGAGGGCTTCAGACCCAGATTTTTCACCGCCTTAAAAGTGAGAGCGCAACGGTAGTACCCACTACGATTCAAACGCTCGCCACAACACACAAAAACCATATATAAATGATCATTTCTCACTGACACACATATACTTAGACGCGCTTTTTGCGGTTGGATTTTATAACTTTTGATAGAGTTAACCAAACCTAGAGTTTATGGGCTCAAAATGATCCTCTCGAAAAATAAAAATTTTCCACTGCATTAGTTTTTGAAAATTAGGTACCAATTTTCCGGAAGTGATTTTAGGTACCCCTAAATGTTGTTCGATCGGGATGGAACTAGTACCAAAAGATCGCCAGAAAATTTCATGAAGATTGATACTATTACCAGACTATTATCTATCTTTTAGAGCATTTTATCACTAGCTCAAGATACCCAAAAGTACTAAAATACGATTACCGTCTATTTTGTAAGGGCACGTTCGAAACGAAGCAAAATGGGTACCATTCTTCATGAAATTTTCTGGCGATCTTTCTGGTACTAGTTTCGTCCCGATCTAACAATATTTTAGAGTACCTAAAATAATTTCCGGAAAATTGGTACTTAATTTTCAAAATCTAATGCATTGGAAAATTTTAATTTTTTGAGAGGATCATTTTGATCCCAAAGACTCCAGATTTGGTTAACTCTATCAAAAGTTATAAGAATCCAATCGTAAAAAAGCGCGTCTTAGGGTCCGTACACAAAAATTTAGTACCCGAAATACTATCCCAATGATTTTCATTTTTAATATGTTTTTCAGACAGTTCAAATAAGTATTTTTGCTTTATAAACTCTCTCTAAACAAAAGGGTTGACAAAATATAAAGGGTCAAAGATGGTGTTTTTGTGTTCACCAGGTTGTATTCCGATTTCAAAAATTTATGCTACTGGAATGACCGGCGGGGCGAGCTTATTTCAAATCCTTTATGAAATAATTTGAAAAGCACATGCATCTGTCCGAAATTTACGAAAAACAGTGAATTTTGCCGATATTTTAAATGCAGCGCATGGCGCGCTATCAGACACGGGGCGCAGGATACAGGGTGAGCACGCAAAAACCAGCGTAAAAGTAAAATCTATTTTTTCGAACTCTCTAAACTTAGCCTGATTGTAACTAAAGGACAGCAAAAGATGTACAAAGATGATTTTTTCAAGCCAAAAATCATAGCGACTAAAAATCTCCATATTAAAATATTTTTTCCCCATTTTAAATAAAAACCATAATTAAGTTGACAACTAGGATAATTTGAATTTTAAAAACGATGGGTGTGGGAGGGGTTGGGCAAAGAACTAAGATTGATCAACTAAAAGTTCAACGCCTATGTCAAGCCCCTTAAATTAAAAAATCAAGAAACGGGGCTAAGACAGCCCGAAAGATTTTATATTTATTATGTTTATATTATTTTTCATTAATAATTAATTAGCATCTTTTATAATTTTGAATTTTTCAAGAAAAATGTGAAGAAAAGCCAAATTTTGACCTTCTTCCTTTAATTTGAGGATGTTGTATACTTGGGTACGGCATGTGGTTTTGGGTGGTCAACTTGAAGCGGTCTTATACAGCCGGAGTCCAAAATAAGGGACTTTTTTGGTCCCAAAATTGTCGAAAATAGTCCCATAAATCGGGTCATGAAGGAAAATTTCCGGGCACGCGAAATTTTTCACAAAAATCTTCTAGAGCAGTTTTTTGCTTTTGAAGAAGCTGAAAATGCTGTTTCCGTCTCTACGAATCCAGCTTCTGGAGCGATTTCGTATTTTTAATCACAGATCACTTAATTTTTCAAAAAATCTAAAAAACAAGCAACTGATTTCCTTTATCTGCTGTCGATTGAATAAAAGAAATTTTCTCGTCTGAAAAAGTCCCTTAAATTAGATTTTTTGAGGCGCAGATTTTCGGCATTTTTCGTAAAAAGTCCCTTATCTTGGTGTCCCTTAATTTGGACTCCGGCTGTAAATTCCCACGTGATCTACATGATCTGAGGATTCTAAAAATGTATGACTCATCACCAAACGAGCTGGGAATAGGATTCTAGAGCCGTTTGAAGTTCCAAAAATGAAATTTTTAGTTTTTTCTTTTGAAAAATGAGTTCCCAAGGGTTTTAAGGCACGCAGATTTCAAAAAATATTGTCTCAAAAGCGCCTGAGAAAAACAAATGATAAAAATTTTTATTATAACGTTATTGCACGACCAAGTTTGCACCAAAACACCAAAATAATATGCATCATTAATCTTTATTTTTAAGTAAATTTTATTTACCTTTTAATGAAAGGTTACTTATACATATATGTATTATGAATTCGAGTTCATATAAGAGCACCACCAAAATGCATTATTACACCAAAAATCCGGTTTTTGGAAGATTTTTCTTGAAGAATGATTCAAGACTGAAGTAATCTGAGGTCACTGAATTAAAGAGTAAATGCTTTCTAAGCAAATATCTTCAAGAAAAGTCCTCCGGAGGACTTTCCCAAGGCTTAAATATCGTATTTCAACCTCGAAAACCTTAAATATCTTACGATTCCCAAATCGGCAAAGAGTGATTGACACTTCTATCTGTAGATTTGAGTCTGCGCTATTATAATTAAGTAAGTTTTTTGCTTCAAGTTGAGGTTTACTGTTGTAGTGGTTTTACAGAATACAGTTGGCACCCAAAATTCGGTACACCCAAAATTCGGTACATTTTTGCGAAAAATGAAAACAAAATTTTTCAAAAGATTTTTTATTTCTACTATAAGATTACTTCTTAGCGAAGAAAGAAGTAATTTGAGACTGAATTGGCTTCTTTTTCGGAACCGGAGATGCATCAGATTGACCAGCTTCTTGAACTTCCATCACGTCACCTTCATCGTTGTCTTCATTTTCCATTTCTTCTTGTATCTCCAGTGTCTCCAACTGATGCAGTAGAACGGCTTCTTCGTCGGCTTCTTCGCATGCCTAAAGATTTAAAATTGAATAGTAAAGACGAGACTAGTTACCTCCAAAGTAGAAAACCGCTTAATTCCAGTTCTTTTCCACGAAGAAGAAATGACATTTGGAGAAATTTCCATTGTCAGTTTGAGAGCCATCTTCACGCCAATTTTGAGAGAAGGTGATGGAATTTGATTCTCGTGGCGAAACTTGGTGAGCCAACGCCGATATGACTGCTTTAAACAGGCAAAAAGCACTTGGTCCGCCGGCGAGAATTCAGGGCTCGGCAACCTGTGATTTTTTAAAATCGAGAGATGGATTAACTCAAACTGCTGTTTACGCTCACCAATTACGAGAACAGACACAAGTGGTACGGACTAATCCACAGAGACTAGTTTAGAATTAAATGAGAGACTTGGAAAAGTGAATCATTTTTGGCGAAGGCTTGAACTTTTATTTTGACTTGAAAAGTACCCCTTCGCATTACTACAGAAGAGCATTACTCCAATGCCATTTTTTGTTTCCTACGTATAAAAAGTCAAAGTGACATGTTTCAACTGCGTTTGAGCCAGCATGATTCATTTCTTCTTGATCACCCAATTTTAGCCATTGATACTGTACGTTCGACGAGCAAAAAATATGCTTGATTGCAAACGAATTTTAAATCAATGGCTCCTCGTACTCAGACAGATTCCCGAAAAACCGGAAACACGACCTGTGACAGGTTTTTACACAGCCCGGTTTGCTGAGCCCAGCTGAAATGTCCCGGTGCAATTCGGCAAGAAGAACTCCAGCCGGAGGTTCTTCACTCCAAGTCCACCCAGGTCAACTTTGTGCGCGGAGAAATTGTCGAGCAAGAGGCAGCACGTTTTTCCAGGCCTATGCTTTTCCAAAAACTTGGAAAAACGTATTACCTCAGCCTCGAAAATTTCTCTCGTGCACCAACCCTTAGAATTGGAATAAAGAACCCCCTGCTGGAGCTCTTTTCGGCAGATCTCCTTGCCGCGCCGTTTTATGCACCGGGACCCCAAAATGTCGCTCCAGCGCGAAGCTTTGTGGCCTAAATATTTTTAAAGTTAAGGCCCCCATTAAAAATCGCGAATTTTTCGCGATTAGCTCGCGATTATCCTTTACCCATTTACTCGATCTACTCGCCCGGATTTCAAACCTTTCAAAATAATTGCAGGCTTGAACTTCACTGGCCCAATAACTGGGATGAACGGCAGAAGAGTCACCCGCAATTTCGAATTGGTCGGAGGAGATCGTTTGAAATGAGAGCCACTCTTCAAAATGATTCGGCATTTGGGCTCATAATTTATAAACAGTGCGCTCTAAAAAGTAAGTGACTATGGTGCAATTTTAATTATATCTGCTCAAATAACCTCATCACAATTGAAAATGCAATCAGTCGTAAATCCCTTCTGAACAGCTTCCAAACGAGTACTTTCCGCATGCTTTTCATCTTCTGTTAATGATTTTGTGTTGCTCAAAGCCTTCAAAAAATATAACAGGAATGAAAATTTCATTACCTTTGTGATTCGGTAATGATATTGCCTCATGATTCGATCAATATAATTCTGGCTAAATTTTAATGAACGAATTTCTTCGTTGCCTTCGAATTCAGCGAGTTTTTGAACATCTTCTAATATCAAAAGCAATCCAAAAGATCCTTCAGTGTCAACTGCTGCCGATTTTACTCGCTCCATTACAATATCTTCAAATCGTTTCTTTGAATCACTTTTATTGTAAGAAAGACGACAGTTGCATGCGACATTATCATCGTCCAAATACTTCGAACCAAAATTTCTCCAGTTGTTAAAGGTTGTACGAGGGAGATCTTTCTTTTTCTCGCCTTTTTGGAGTTTTCTGTAATCAACATTGATGGTCTTGTATTTTCCGCCGAACTGGATGATTCGCTTGATAAATTCTCTCTTCTTTGAAACCGGAAGGTCAATACGAATTGAACCAAGCTCTTTTTTTGGGATAAGTTTTCTCTGTTTCCCCATATTAAAAGTAAAGCGAATGCATTTTTAATCAACAAGAAAACAATCAGTCTTTCTGCTGTAGAGAAGCATGAGATCAATAATGGCAATGAATTTATCCTGCAAGAACGGTTGGCGATAAGATAAAAAATAAATTCCATTTTTACATAAATCCGTCGACAAAATTCCCATAACCCAAAATTCGGTACATTTTCGAAGATTCCGGCTACAAAATTATGTACCGAATTTTGGGTGCCAACTGTAGCTCTAATTACGATCACGCCGCGGGGCAAAGCAAAGCTTGCCACGCGAGCACGGCGCGTAAGTGAAAATGATGGCGCAATAGCGCTGGCGAAATAATCGACTCTTAAACGCGCGCCCTTCCTGAAAAACCAAATAATCCGTTTTAAAACGCCGCTCTTCAAATTATTCTCACGTCCTGATGCTCGAAATCCGATTAATCCGCTAAAATGGAATTATTCCTTTTCCAAGTGACAAAATCCGTTGGTGACGAATTATTACGTTCATGTTCAATTAATCCGATGAAAACAATACGATCGAATAACAGCCGATTAATCTACTGGGAACCCGAAAATTTGAAAAACTATAAAAACCGCTCACCATCTCTCTCACATTCATTCTCACTTTTGCTCGCTCAGAGAATAGATCAAATAAAAAGCTCAAAAACCTTACTCTTTTTATACACAGCCAACTTTGCTCAGTTGTCTGTATATTTCTCTTGTGTTCACTCATTTGCATAGGTTGCAAAACCATTACAAATTTGGTGACTGAGAAAAACGCTTCGCCCATATAGAGATTTACGATTGAAGAGAGCTGCTGTAAAGAAACATGACTCGCTATTTCAAACTTGCCTCTGATCTGAATCGAGAAGAACTGCTGAAGATCTACGACCATGTTTCGAATCAAACGTATCCTCCACAGCTCCCTATCACAGATAAGTCATCAATTGTTCTGAATATCCACAAGTTGGATGGGGAGTTTTTCGCCGAAAATCGTAAGTTCGTGTTCAACAAGGAAGGTGAATTCACAAACTACCTCCATGATGATGACGGAAGCGACGAGATAGATCAGAAGTTCGCTAAGAGGCATCACAAGATGGAGATCAGGCAAATCCTGGCATCCGCTCAAGCCACAACACTTGCCGAGCTCATGATCTCCATGAAAATGGAAGAAGCCACTGACAATGAAAGCTCGGAAGAATCTCTTCCAGACTCTATTGACTGAAGTGAACTTGATGAAACGTTTCGACAGAATCAACGATCAGCTCCGAAGAATGAACCGAAAATCAAGAAAGAGACTCCTGATCAAAACCACAAAAAGGAGGGAGAAGCTCCAAAGGTTCCAAAACAACGGTCAAGATCCCGACACGAACCAAAAAAGGGCGATAACTTCAAGATCAAGACTCCGAAGTTTGACCCCTCGGTCCCCATACAAAATTGGTTAAAGTCAATGGAAATCTACAGCTTCTGCTACGGTCTCTCGCAAGAAAACCTGATCCAAGTCAGTCTCGCTCAACTTCTGACTGAAGAGACCGGAAGCGCACTGATCGAAGCGATCTCAGCTGATGAGCTCAAAAGCTGGGATCTTTTCAAAAAAAAACTCACTCTCATCCACGGAAAGGATGCCGAACATTACAAATTCCAGTACAACACCTTCCAACGTGGGAGTGAATCACAATTCATGGCGCTCACAAAACTCATCGCCTTCTTCAAGAAAGGATACGGCAAAGAAACCCTTGATCCAGCCGACGAAAGCATAATTTGCGAAAGGTTCATCAACGCTCAAGAACCGCGATTATGTGAGTTGCTCAGAAGGGAAAAATCGCTGCTGACTCTCAAAAACATCGCTCAGCGCAGCACTGAACTTGAAAGATCGTTCTTCAAGAAAGAAAATATATTCACTGCAGAGGAAACCTCATCGACACAAAGCTCAGAAGTGTCAATGCTCTGCTCAAAATTGAAAAAAATTGTGTCTTAAGCAGTCAAAAAGGATCAGCCAAAGCCAAAAGAGCCAAAGCGGAAGAGATCAGAATCGACACTTCGAAGATCGACGGATTCTGATTCAGCTTTGTCAAAAGGGGATCGTGTAAATTTGGATCAAAGTGCAAATACATCCACTCCGATGATGTTCCCGCTCACGTAAAGAAATTGATCAAAAACGAGGAATGACTATCAAAGGTCACCGAAACGTGTAAATATGCTCATTTTGCACCGACCTCGCTCAAATATGTCAAGATCACGCTCCAGGGACTAACCTTTCCCGCTCTTATTGACACCGGATGTAGTCGAACATGTTTCCGCTCCGATGTAATCGACCTACTTCCAGCTCACGTCAACAAACAAACACCCTCGAATATAAGGCTCAAGTGTGCGAATTCAGAAATCGTTCAAGTCAGTACGCTCAGCTCCACGATCGAAGCAAATCTGATAAGAAATGGATCGCCACTCAAGATCAAACTCAACCCGCTCATTGTTCAAAACCTTTCGTGCCCGATCATTCTTGGCATGGATACGCTCAAGCAAGTTACGATTGGAGAAAGCTCGATAACTCTCCTAGGAAAACCTATCCCCACGATCAATCCAAATTCCTCAGATCTGCTTCTCACAGGAATTATAGAGCTGGATAGAAAATCTGGCTCTGAAAAGGAGGAATACGATCAGTTCCTCCAAAGACGTTCACAAGCCGCCGAAAGGACCAATTTCAAACCCGATATCGGATCATACGGGTCAGCAAACAATGTTCAAAAGGCTCAATTGGATGAACTTGTTTACAAATATCGGCTCAGCTTCTCAATGGACTCGGACGATCTTGGACGTGTAGGAGTTCCTGCATAGTCTCGATAGGGATTTCTACTCTCCTGCCCTCTGCTGGGGGCGCTGTGTGCATGATATATAATCTACTTGATACTCTGCAATAAACTAGAATTGAAAACGAATGAGATTGTGTTAGAGACTAGCAGGTCACTCCAACAATTGGTGACTGAAGTGAAGAACTCGCAACCCCAGACTACTACACCAGTACTACTGGCCTGTGGCGCAACATGAGGTACACCTACTCGATAACCAGTCTTGATGTGAAACTTCTGGATGCAATCGGACACAAGGAGACGACTCTCAGAGGAAAAAACAACACAGATGTTCTGAACTTCTTGAAAA